GTTACTCAGGGACACAGAATTGTTACTCAGGGACACAGAAACTGTTACTCAGGGACACAGAATTGTTACTCAGGGAAAGACACAGAATTGTTACTGAGGGACACAGAATTGTTACTCAGGGGCACAGAATTGTTACTCAGGGACACAGAATTGTTACTCAGGGACACAGAAATTTACTCAGGGACACAGAACTGTTACTCAGGGACACAGAATTGTTACTCAGGGACAGACACAGAATTGTTACTGAGGGACACAGAATTGTTACTGAGGGACACAGAATTGTTACTCAGGGACACAGAATTGTTACTCAGGGACAGACACAGAATTGTTACTGAGGGACACAGAATTGTTACTGAGGGGACACAGAATTGTTACTCAGGGACACAGAATTGTTACTCAGGGACACAGAATTGTGTTACTCAGGGACACAGAACTGTTACTCAGGGACCACAGAATTGTTACTCAGGGACACAGAACTGTTACTCAGGGACACAGAATTGTTACTCAGGAAAGACACAGAATTGTTACTGAGGGACACAGAATTGTTACTCAGGGACACAGAATTGTTACTCAGTGACACAGAATTGTTACTCAGGGACACAGAACTGTTACTCAGGGACACAGAACTGTTACTCAGGGACACAGAACTGTTTACTCAGGGACACAGAATTGTTACTCAGGGACAGACACAGAATTGTTACTGAGGGACACAGAATTGTTACTGAGGGACACAGAATTGTTACTCAGGGACACAGAATTGTTACTCAGGGACAGACACAGAATTGTTACTGAGGGACACAGAATTGTTACTGAGGGACACAGAATTGTTACTCAGGGACAGACACAGAATTGTTACTGAGGGACACAGAATTGTTTACTCAGGGACACAGAATTGTTACTCAGGGACACAGAATTGTTACTCAGGGACACAGAATTGTTACTCAGGGACACAGAACTGTTACTCAGGGACACAGAATTGTTACTCAGGACACAGAACTGTTACTCAGGGACACAGAATTGTTACTCAGGGACACAGAACTGTTACTCAGGGACACAGAATTGTTACTCAGGGACAGACACAGAATTGTTACTGAGGGACACAGAATTGTTACTGAGGGACACAGATTTGTTACTGAGGGGACACAGAATTGTTACTGAGGGACACAGAATTGTTACTCAGGGACACAAGAACTCGTTACTCAGGGACACAGAACTGTTACTCTGGGACACAGAACTGTTACTCAGGGACACAGAATTGCTACTCAGGGACAGACACAGAATTGTTACTGAGGGACACAGAATTGTTACTGAGAGGGACACAGAATTGTTACTGAGGGACACAGAATTGTTACTCAGGGACACAGAATTGTTACTCAGGGACACAGAAACTGTTACTCAGGGGAGACACAGAATTGTTACTCAGGGACACAGAACTGTTACTCAGGGACACAGAATTGTTACTCAGGGGACAGACACAGAATTGTTACTGAGGGACACAGAATTGTTACTGAGGGACACAGAATTGTTACTGAGGGACACAGAATTGTTACTCAGGGACAGACACAGAATTATTACTGAGGGACCACAGAATTGTTACTGAGGGACACAGAATTGTTACTGAGGGGACACAGAATTGTTTTACTCAGGGACACAGAATTTGTTACTCAGGGACACAGAAATGATACTCAGGACACAAAATTGTTACTCAGGGACACAGAACTGTTACTCAGGGACACAGAATCGTTACTCAGGGACACAGAATCGTTGAAATTAAAGAGTATGTCAGACAACACGCAGAGGAGTGTCAGAGGAGGCAATGTTTCAGGAGCGAGCAGGACGTGGCAGCAGAGGAAGGGGTCGAGGCAGCACTCACTAGTCGCAGCCAGAGGCCAGTGCTCCCGGTGTCATCCAGTGGTCGTGTCTCCACCGACAACCCTGCCGTCATCGATTGGTTGGCTCGGGTCGTCTTCCTCTTCCCAGGTCACCTCTGACACCTACAGCCAACGGTCGGTGGGTACGTCAGACACAACCGTTAGTTGGCATGGCCCGGGAGCAAGCCCACTGAAATCACGTGTCCTCTACCTGCCCCTGTCCTTTGGTGTTCCCTCACCAAGCGAAGTATCGCATGCTGTGGGCTCAGCCCCACTGTACAGTGAGGAAGAGCTAACAGAGGGCGGTCAGGAACGGGGGGAGACATCTGCCTCTTCAGCAGCCAGGCAAAGAAGTACTGGCGAGGAGAGTGGCTCGGTAGCCGGTCTAGAGACAGGTCTGTCTCCTGACCCACCACGCAGCCGAGGGGGCTAGTAGTGAGGCGGAGACCCTAATTGATGATGATGAGGCTGATCGCACTTGGCAGCCTCGTCGTCATCAGGCTATTGCTTCTGCATCATCAGGAGAAGAGGGTGCCAGCTTGGCAGCGAGCAAAACAGTCGGTGGGTTGCCCAGGAGGCAGCAGGGTCGCAGCAGTTGTCAGTGGAGGCAAACGGCCACGGAGTACAAGCACCAGCATCCACTGCTGGTGGGTTCCATTTTGTCATAGGGTGCTGGCAGATTTACGGGCCTCCCATTGCTGCTGGTCAGGCCCCTAATCAGCCAGCAAGTGGGCCCCTGTAACCGCCGCCCCTCATGCTGCTGCCAGGTTCCACAGTGTGTCATGGGTCCCTGTAACGGCCTCCCATTGCTGCTGTCTCCATCGCCACACTACTGCACATGTGCCACTTTCAGGTCTCCTCACACTGCTGGTGGGTTCCATTTTGTCATAGGGGATGCAGGCAGATTACGGGCCTCCCATTGCTGCTGCCAGGCCCGTAATCTGCCATGGGCCCCTGTACCACCTCCTCATGCTGCTGCCAGGTCCAGAGTGTGTCTCATGGGTCCCTGTACGGCCTCCCATTGCTGCTGTCTCCATCGCCACACTCTGCCATGTGCCACTTTCAGGTCTCCTCACACTGCTGGTGGGTTCCATTTTGTCATAGGGTGCATGGCAGATTACGGGCCTCCCATTGCTGCTGCCAGGCCCGTAATCTGCCATGGGCCCCTGTATACCGCCATCCTCATTTCTGCTGCCAGGTCCAGAGTGTGTCATGGGTCCCTGTACGGCCTCCCATTGCTGCTGTCCTCCATCGCCACACTCTGCCATGTGCCACTTTCAGGTCTCCCCTCACAACTGCTGGTGGTGTTCCATTTTGTCATAGGGTGCTGGCAGATTACGGGCCTCCCATTGCTGCTGCCAGGCCCGTAATCTGCCATGGGCCCCCGTACCGCCTCCTCATCTGTGACTTGCTGCCAACCAGAGTCTGGAATGGTCAACCCTACATATGTTAGAACCATTGCCTTCTACCATCAAAGCGAAAGGCACACTCTGCCGATTTCCTGATGTTCAAGCGTCTAAAGGTACTGACCCTGTGTAACTTAGATTTTGCCATTGGCAGCTCATGCGATTACGGGCCGCACCTGCCGCTTGCCAGCCCTTAATCTGAGGGCCACCTATATCGTGAGTCGGGCAAGACAATGCTGATGAACGACAGGTCCATTCCTCTGTTTGCACTGTCCCTGGAACAAATGCTGTCTAACAATGGCATCGCCGGTAGACTGGCGCACAGATCCACTTCCACATCCACACTGTGGGGCAGACAGGAAGAAGAGGAGGAGTCATAGGAGCTGACATTGGTGCTGCAAGGAATTATTGAGATGAAATGGGTGGTTTTTCCACTCAGCTGCCAGGAGTGTCATGAGGACGCAGGAGCATCTGGTAGAGAGGAGGAGGAGGAGACAGAGGACCCAGACGCACCGTGGCAGTATGCTGTGGAGATGGAGGCTGAGTCCCTCGCATTCCTTGGCACAAATTAGCCCATAGACTATGCTCAGTGCATGGGTTGCTTGCGCTATTGCGACAGCCGAATAATAACCATCAGACATGGGATGACTTTTGGCTGTCCACCCATTGTTGGACCCTCACTACCGATCAAAAATGGTGGCCTTTTTCACACCTGCATGAGAGGGGAGGCCAAAATAACGTACTATAAAAACCACCTATGTAGTCATTTGGTCTCTGCCTTTCTGCGCCAACGGCCCCAACAGTCCCAGTCGGCTCCTCAGACACTGCTGGGCCCTGTGAGCTTCGCGTTCTCCGCTGCCATGGCAGCAGGGGAGGGGTGGGGTGATAGGAGCAGTGGCAGCTCCACCAGCAGCGGCTGCCTCAGTCTGCAGTTGATCGAATAAGTAGCTTTCTTCACCTCAGCTGCAGTGAGGAAACTACTAACCAGCCATGAGCCAACCGCATCAGCAGCATCAGGTGGACCTGGAGCAGGACCTCAAACTTCCAGGCTTGGGCCCTACTTGGACAGCACCTCCTGCCAACCGAAACCGTAGACAATCCCCTTGACTACCATTGGGCAACGAAACTTGACCTTTGGGTCCCTCAACTAGCTGAATTTTTTGCCCTTGAAAGGCTGTCATGCCCCGGCCAGTCGTGGCATTGTTTAGTGCCAAGGAGGTATTGTAACTCCTGTACGCGGAGGACACGCTGCCACCCAAAGAGAGTGTGAGAGACTCACGTTTGTGGTCCCTGAACAGGCCGTGGATTAGTCTGGATTCTCAAACCACCAGTTCCTGACACAACACTGACTAAATCCGCCATGAATCCATGTGCCCCAACACTGTGCCACTTTCAGGTCTCCTCACACTGCTGGCTGGGTTTCCATTTTGTCATAGGGTGCTGGCAGATTACGGCCTCCCCATTGCTGCTGCCAGGCCCCTAATCTGCCATGGGCCCCCTGTACCCGCCTCCTCATGCTGCTGCCAGGTCCAGAGTGTGTCATGGGTCCCTGTACGGCCTCCCATTGCTGCTGCTGTCTCCATCGCCACACTCTGCCATGTGCCACTTTCAGGTCTCCTCACACTGCTGGTGGGTTCCATTTTGTCATAGGGTGCTGGCAGATTACGGCCTCCCATTGCTGCTGCCAGGCCCGTAATCTGTCATGGGCCCCTGTACCGCCTCCTCATGCTGCTGCCTATGTCCACAGTGTGTCATGGGTCCCTGTACGGCCTCCCATTGCTGCTGTCTCCATCGCCACACTCTGCCATGTGCCACTTTCAGGTCTCCTCACACTGCTGGTGGGTTCCATTTTGTCATAGGGTGCTGGCAGATTACGGGCCTCCCATTGCTGCTGCCAGGCCCGTAATCTGCCATGGGCCCCTGTACCGCCTCCTCATGCTGCTGCCAGGTCCAGAGTGTCTCATGGGTCCCTGTACGGCGGCCTCCCATTGCTGCTGACTCCCATCGCCCACACTCTGCCATGTGCCACTTTCAGGTCTCCTCACACTGCTGGTGTGGTTTCCATTTTGTCATAGGGTGCTGGCAGATTACGGGCCTCCCATTGCTGCTGCCAGGCCCGTAATCTGCCATGGGCCCCCGTACCGACTCCTCATGCTGCTGCCAGGCCCGTAATCTGTCATGGGCCCCTGTAACCCCCCTTGCCTCCTCATGCTGCTGCCAGGTCCAGAGTGTCTCATGGGTCCCTGTACGGCCTCCCATTGCTGCTGTCTCCATCGCCACACTCTGCCATGTGCCACTTTCAGGTCTCCTCACACTGCTGGTGGGTTCCATTTTGTCATAGGGTGCTGGCAGAGTACGGGCCTCCCATTGCTGCTGCCAGGCCCGTAAATCTGCCATGGGCCCCTGTACCGCCTCCTCATGCTGCTGCCAGGTCCACAGTGTGTCATGTGTCCCTGTACGGCCTCCCATTGCTGCTGTCTCCATCGCCACACTCTGCCATGTGCCACTTTCAGGTCTCCTCACACTGCTGGTGGGTTCCATTTTGTCATAGGGTGCTGTATGGCCTCCCATTGCTGCTGCCAGGACCGTAATCTGCCATGGGCCCCTGTACCGCCTCCTCATGCTGCTGCCAGGTCCAGAGTGTGTCATGGGTCCCTGTACCGCCTCCTCATGCTGCTGCCAGGCCCGTAATCTGCCATGGGCCCCCGTACCGACTCCTCATGCTGCTGCCAGGCCCGTAATCTGTCATGGGCCCCTGTACCGCCTCCTCATGCTGCTGCCAGGTCCAGAGTGTGTCATGGGTCCCTGTACGGCCTCCCATTGCTGCTGTCTCCATCGCCACACTCTGCCATGTGCCACTTTCAGGTCTCCTCACACTGCTGGTGGGTTCCATTTTGTCATAGGGTGCTGGCAGATTACGGGCCTCCCATTGCTGCTGCCAGGCCCGTAATCTGCCATGGGCCCCCGTACCGACTCCTCATGCTGCTGCCAGGCCCATAATCTGTCATGGGCCCCTGTACCGCCTCCTCATGCTGCTGCCAGATCCAGAGTGTGTCATGGGCCCCCCGTACCGACTCCTCATGCTGCTGCCAGGCCCGTAATCTGTCATGGGCCCCTGTACCGCCTCCTCATGCTGCTGCCAGGTCCAGAGTGTGTCATGGGTCCCTGTACGGCCTCCCATTGCTGCTGTCTCCATCGCCACACTCTGCCATGTGCCACTCTCAGGTCTCCTCACACTGCTGGTGGGTTCCATTTTGTCATAGGGTGCTGTATGGCCTCCCATTGCTGCTGCCAGGCCCGTAATCTGCCATGGGCCCCCGTACCGACTCCTCATGCTGCTGCCAGGCCCGTAATCTGTCATGGGCCCCTGTACCGCCTCCTCATGCTGCTGCCAGGTCCACAGTGTGTCATGGGTCCCTGTACCGCCTCCTCATGCGTGCTGCTGCCAGGCCCGTAATCTGCCATGGGCCCCCGTACCGACTCCTCATGCTGCTCCCAGGCCCGTAATCTGTCATGGGCCCCTGTACCGCCTCCTCATGCTGCTGCCAGGTCCAGAGTGTCTCATGGGTCCCTGTACGGCCTCCCATTGCTGCTGCCAGGCCCGTAATCTGCCATGGGCCCCCGTACCGACTCCTCATGCTGCAGCCAGGCCCGTAATCTGTCATGGGCCCCTGTACCGCCTCCTCATGCTGCTGCCAGGTCCAGAGTGTGTCATGGGTCCCTTTACTGCCTCCCATTGCTGCTGCCAGGAGGCAGCAGGGTCGCAGCAGTGTCAGTGGAGGCAAACGGCCACGGAGTAGAGCACCAGCTCCACTGCAGCCTACCCCCACGGCCAGTAGTGGTGCCGGTGTGCACGGAGGAAGTAGCAGTCAGCCAGTGAGGAGTAGCGGGGGCAAAGTTTCCTACTCGGTGGTGTGGCAATTTTTCGTCAAGCCGCCCGAGGAAGTAAACGTAGCCGTATGTCGACTATGTGGCCAGAAAGTCAAGCGTGGCCAGGGGGCCCATGTTGGGGACTACAGCGTTGCGTCAGCATATGCAACGTCGCCATTCGGTGGCTTGGGAAAACCGTGATAAAGATACGGCGGTTCTGCCTGCCCCAGCCCAGGGTTCCATTTTGTCATAGGGTGCTGGCAGATTACGGGCCTCCCATTGCTGCTGCCAGGCCTTAATCTGCCATGGGCCCCTGTACCGCCTCCTCATGCTGCTGCCAGGTCCACAGTGTGTCATGCCATGTGCCACTTTCAGGTCTCCTCACACTGCTGGTGGGTTCCATTTTGTCATAGGGTGCTGTATGGCCTCCCATTGCTGCTGCCTCCACCGCCACACTGTGGCTCCACACTCTGGTTTTGGCCCCGTGACTGCCCAAATGAGTGAAGTGTGCGGTGATTCTAAGATCGACGGCACTCATCTGCATGTCATACTGACTGACAGTATTATTTCTCTTCCCCAGCAGACTCCAAGGGCATTTAAATTAAAGGTACAGTGTTCTGCACTAATATAAAGGCTCTCTGAAGCCTAGAAACACCCTTTTATAAGTTAAATTCGCAGCGAATATATTGGACTCGAATCAAATTTTTTCCACGAATTCGCCGAATCAGTCGAATCGAATTTTTGAATAATTCGCTCATCTCTAGTTATAATCTTATAATATTTGAGCTGCCAGCAAGTAACATTTGCGGTTTCATACTTCTGCTTTTTGTTTCTCTAGCTTAAGTAGATAGGAAAGCACAGATTTTAAGACGGGGAGGGGGAGTGAGTTCTGTATGTGTCACTTGTGAAACTAAAATAGGAAGTGCAGCGAGGGACAACAAAACCCAGCAGACTCTCAGTAACAAAAAAACTTTTTTTTTAAACAGAAACAAAACATCAGTTAGCATAGCTTCATTATTACAGCCACTTCCTAGCTTCCCTGAGCAAATGTATTTGTCATTAATTAAGTATTCCTTTTCCCACTCTAACCCCCCCCCCCCCCACAGCTTCTTCTGGGGAAAGGATTTAGGTTAATAGCAGAGCATACATCAAAGATCAGGCTCGCTGCAGCATTAGGGTTAGTTATCAGGGTGACTGCTTCAAAGAGTTCTTGAACATATTTCCAATTTTGGATTGGTTCTCCTGCAGCAGTTGTGAATCCTCTGTTTTTTCATATGGGACCATAGTCATGGACTACTCCTAGAGCATACCTGCTGTCCCTATAGATGTTGGCTGATTAATCCCTTGTGGTCTCACAAGCCTTGGTGAGTGCTACCAACTCAGCAACTTGCGCTGAAAGTGATGAAGGGAGCAGTTGGGTATCAATAACTTCCTCCAATGTTGTCACCGCATATGCTGTTCTTGGGACTCCATTCCTGTATAGGCGTGAACCGTCTACAAACAGGATCAGATCAGGATTTTCAAGTGGAATGTCCTTTACTGGGGAGATTTGCTGAATTTCTTCTTCCATGAGTTCTATGCAATTGTGGTCACCCTCCTCTTCGAGGTCTTCTTCTCTTTCTGGGAAAAACTGGCAGGATTGATTGTAGTACACCTCTTCACTTCTATTTCTCTTGATTCAAGCAGGATTGTTTCATATTTGCTCAGTCTTGCTGATGACAAATGTTTGGTTCTTGCTCTTTCCAAGATTTCACTTGCTGCATGTGTTGTGTAGACTGTCAGGGGTTGATTCATCCTTATAATGGCAACCTTTTCAACTAGTAATGCTGCGGCTGCAACAGCTCTTACACAGGTTGGCGATCCTTGGAGGATTGGGTCCAGTTGTACGCTCTCATAGGCAACTATGTGTGTTCCTGATGGTGACTTCTGAGTAAGGACTCCATTGCCTGTGGCTCCCTTGACAGAGCAATATAGTTGAAAGGGTTTGTTTTGGTCAGGCAGTTTGAGGGCAGGTGCTGCTTATATATCAGCCTTCAACTGATTGAAAAGATCCTCTATCTCTTTTGTCCATTCAAAGGGAATAGTCAAGCTGTATACAGAGGTTTCAATTTGGTATTAGCATCTGGTATCCATTGTCTCACATATGACACCATCCCAATGAACTCTCTGAGCTGCTTGTGATTTTTCGGCTGAGACATTTTAGTTATTGTCCGTTTTCTTTCAATGTCAATGTGTTTGGTTCCAGGGCCTAGACAGTGACCAAGGAACTTCACATGAAATCTGCACCATTGTACCTTTTCCTTTGACACCTTACAATTCTGTTCACTGAGATATTTCAACAGGGAAAGAGAGTCTTGTTCACAATGTTCTTTTGTGTCTGCACCTCTTAGCAAGATGCCCAATCTTGCCACAATTAAAACATTTCCTGGTTTATCTCCTAAAATCATTAGCTCCTTGAACAAGATTTTGAGCCACAAAAGTTCTAAGTCTTTTCTCTCTCTTCTCTTCTTCCTGACTCACACTAAAGAATGTGTTTGCCAGATCTATTACTGTATACACCTTTGTTCCTGTAGGTATATCATCTAGCAGGGTACTGGGATTTGGGACAACCGGAGTGTCCTCTTCATAATCTGATTGATAGCTCTCAAATCATGTACCATCCAATATACAGGCTTTTCTCCCTTTTTGATTTTCTTCTTTATAGGAAACAATACTGCTACACACTTCTCTTAGCAAAGTCCATTCATATCCCTTCCACTCTGGTTTTGCTGCCATTAAACATTTCCTTGTTATTTCTTTCAATCCCATCACAACAGCATTCTTACAACCTATGGCAGTGATATTAGTGCGATCTGTCTACGCCCACAGTTTCTGCCATGGATTGTACACGCTTAAAATAATCAAATACATCCTCAGTTTTTTCTTGTCTCACATCTAGCAAGCCACCAGATTTGTTCTGTGAGGGCCATGCGTTAATAATTCTACAACATTCTGTCCATTTTCTTTCTAGTCCTTCTATTGTTTTATCTTCAGCCTGGAACAAAACGTTTCCCCGGCTTGTGGGGCACAGTGACATTGTGATTGTCATCTGTACTTTTCTGCGCAACCTTGTTCAGGTCAGTGGACCCAAGGACTATTCTCAATAATTGAGCCATATCTGCCCAGCACAAATCTTGAGATTCTTTTAATCTGTTCATTTCTTGCATAAAGACAGCTTTATCTTTTGATGGGTGTGGAATGTCTTTTGTAAGAGTTTTCATTTCTCCTGGTGTAAATGGCTGGTAGCAAGAGCTGGTGGTTACCATCGGTTGGCCACCATCATCTGGTCCTTGTCTAGTATTTTTAATTATACGAAGAGGATATGCACTGTATCTTAAACCCATTCTGGCTTTATTTTCTTCTTGTGCTGTTATAGCCTCTAAGTCCTTGATAACTCCTGTATACGGTCCTTGTCCTGTACCTTTAGGTTCAGGACAAGCGTGGTAACTTGGGGGAGGAAGATTATTTGGGTAAGAGGGTGCTGTGGGAGATGAAAATACTGGAGAGTGAACTTGGTTTGACTCTCTGGGTGAAGGAAGGGTCATTGTTTTTACTTTATCCTTCCGACCACTATCACTAGCTTCATCCCCACTGCTCTCACTTTCTGCCTTATTTTTCTTTACCTTTACTTTATTTTTCCCTCTTTTACTGCGTCTTGGGAGTTGTGGGCTATCCCAGGACCACCCTAATTTTTCAACCATTTCTGACAGATTTTCTTCACATATCTTTCCATTTCTTAAACATTTTGATAACACTTGCATTGCTTGGTGTAATTCTGTCTTACTAGGCCCGTCAGTAATATGCGTTAGAAAAGTCTTAACAGGCTGATGACTAATCAAGATTTCATCACGTTTCATACTTTCAAAAATCCAACATTGTACACATTTAATTCCCAGCAACAATTCTGTCAGTCTACCATGAAAGTCAACATACACAGAGACCCAGGTTGATACATCATAAACTCCTTCCATTTAGGATTGAATCAGGTCTGCTTTTTGTCAAACTTATAATAATCTTGGTGTCTTTTCCCAACCTCTGTTAATATTTGTCATTTCTGCCAAAGGACTGAATTTACTTGTGCCATTTATACCTCTCTCGGCATCGAGAGGTCCATGGGACTGCCGTTTTCCCAATCCTAGAGTCCTCCTCTGGAGTCTCTATTTACAATTTGGGTCGTCAACTAAATTGTTTTCCCCGGGCCACACACAGTAGCCGTCAATGACACTTCTCTACACTTGCCACACAGGCTTCTTATGCCACACAGGCTTATGCCACACAGGCTTCTTACACTACTTCAGTCCTTTGGTCAGACCTCACAATTCGCACAATTCTTACAAATCTATTGACACCTCATGCATAGAAACAAAACATCAGCAGCCCACCAAAAATAATAATAATAGGTGCTATTATTTCTGCAACATATAAACTAGAGGAGCTTCTTGGGTCAAACTGTGTAATATTAACGTTACCCTGATTCATATTTATCTCGCCATCTCATCAAACATTACAAAACTCTTCTGCTTCCAAAACACCTCAGACACCGACAGTTACTTGCCACAAGGGACAGAATAAGTAAGAACAAGGGTCTTACCGTGGCCACTGGTCTGTCCTTTGTGGATTTCACATCTCTCCTGGCCTGGGGTCCAATGGAACGATCCGAGTCGCAGGGCACCAAACTATAGCTTCACGTTAGGGTGTCTTCAAACGAGACTTTTTAGATGAGATGACGAGTCCA